ATATTCCCTTTAAATAAAGGAATGTTGACTTACAGCAAATCTACACATTGGAAAATGTGTTCAGATGACAGGAAACAGGGTTCATCACGAAAGTATGAAAAAGCCTGGGATTCATATTACAATTGCATAATTCAATCATCGTTATTCACTGATGCTGACGACAGCTTTTTGGCAGCATTATCCAGCCTTAGACCAGACGTTAAAACAAACCACATGACGGCTGATGCCACTGAACTGAAAATAATCTAGAAATCACAACAAATGACACGTGAAACAGGGCAAAGACATGATAATGTGTTTATTGCGAAGTATTTTTGCACACATAAAACTGGGCACTATACAGACTTTAGTCACGTTTTCGTATTAGCAAACCATAAAAGGAGAAAGTAATATTGCAATACAAGTATAATCTGTATGCTTTTAGTTGTAGGAAATCTCTTTCGACTCTCCATTCTCCTTTTTTTGGTGTATATAATGACTTAAATACAACGTTATGCATCAAATATTCTTACAAAAACTACAATTTAAAACTGAGGACAACATACAGATCAAGGTGATTTTAATATCTGCATGTTTTGAAAGATTTTTTGACAGAAACAAGCCCGTATTTTCCACTTGGATGTGCGGTAAAGCTGTGAGTTTATGTTATGTGCATGTCTGAAGCATGAGCGCATGTGTTTATAGTGGCTGCTCCGGCTGATTCTAGATTTCTACAGCGTGAGCTGTAAAAAGGTCAGATCAACACAATCTCACGGCAATTCATAACTTTTTGATTTAGTGGCTAATTCGTATGAATTCGTACAATCTAGTTCGTACAATTTAGTACGATTTGCTTATCACCCAATGACGGTTGTGTTTAGGGGTGGGGTTAGGTGCCACGCCTCCTTTTTAAAATCGTACAATTTCGTACGACTGAACTTGTACGACTACGAATTCGTACGAATTAGCCACTAAACTGGCAAAACGTAAAATACTTACGTTTTCTCGTGAGATCAGGCTGGTCAGATCCTCTGAAATGAAATCAGTCGGACACTTGAAGATGCACGGAAATGTGTGAATTTAAAAAAAAATACATTCAGAGTTTAAAATGAATTTGATATTTTAATTCATCGCAATTCATTTAATCAAATCAAACAAATTAATTAAATTGATTATTTGGGCTGGAGTAATTTTAGAAACACCAGCCTGATGGCACAAGGAACTGTAACTATTTTACGTTTGGTCAGTTTAGTGGCTACAAGGTACCAAGTTGTACAAGTTTAGTCATATAAAAATGTACAATTAGAAAAGGAAGGCGTGGCACCAAACAACTAAACCCATCCAACCTTAGGGGATGAGCAAATCGTACTAAAGCGATCATACGAATTCATGCATATGTAATGGAGGCCAGCTAGTAAGTGCTGTGCAGGTAAAGCTCACTCCTCTGACCTCTAAACTTGCTCTAGCGATGGACGCTAGAGGCCATGGTCTTTAGCCTCCTTGTTAGATCAACCGACTTCTATGCGGAAGGTTGCCGGTTCGATACTGGCAGGGTTACATTGGTGCCGTGACCCGGATGGGAGTGAGGTTTAGGGGGTGAGTGTAACGGAGGCCAGCTAGTAAGTGCTGTGCAGGTAAACCTCTCCTCTGACCTCTAGTGCTCTAGTGACCAATGCTAGAGGCCATGGTCTTTAGGCTCCTTGTTAGATCAACCGACTCCCGTGCGGATGGTTTCCGGTTCGATACCAGCTCGGAGCGGGTTGGGTGGCGCAGGACTAGCAGGGTTACACATATTAGCCACTAAATCAAAAAGTTATGAATTATCGTGAGATAGCGTTGGAAACACATTTGAGACGCTGTCGTTGAGGTCAGTATAATTTCTGACTTAAACATACTGTAAAGTAAGAGTGCTTTCACACCTGCCTTATTTAGTTCGGTTGAATCGCACTAGAGTTCGTTTCCCCTTTTGGTATGGTTTGTTTGGGCAGGTGAGAATGCAGCAATCGTACTTGAGTGCGCACCAAAAGCGGACCAAATAAGCGTACCGAGACCTGCTCGAAGAGGTGGTCTCGGTACGCTTTCAAACGAACCCTGGAGCGGTTCGTTTGTGGTGAGAATATGATCCGTACTAAAACAGGTCCAACCGCAAAAAGTACTGCACGTTTTGGACTAATTCAGCTGCCGTAGGCCGATGCGCTGTGCATTATGGAATATGGAGGAAAAATATTTGTTGACAGCGCTTTACCAACAGAGAGAGAGGGGGAAACATTACCTGATGGATCGTTGGTAATATTTCCGCAAGATGAGCATGTCACAGTTTAGCTAAACTAATTCACGCCTTCTTCTGAAGTGACGAGCGATGCATTAAACACTGTTTTCCAGCTGAGGCCGCGCTTCATTTTCGTAATGTATAGTTTGTCTAAAGCAGGGATACAATCAGCCAGCGCAGTCGTCCCTCCAGAGTAAAAACGAAATTTTATGTCTGCCGGTTTTGTTTACCTGCGGGAGTTTATTGGCATTTTCCTGCATGGGAATTCTGACTAATCAATAAGCAGTTTAGGAAATATGTTCAACATCTGGCCAATGAGAGATGTGGATTTTGTCAGATGACTGCATTTTGGTTCGTTTCAACTGGTTCGGACCAAAGCCAGCAGTGTCGTGTGAAAACGACCCAAAGACGGCAGAAGAAGCAACAATGTATCATGTATTACCCTTGGTCCAGACCAAATGAAGCGAACTACAGGTGTGAAAGCACCCTAAAATTTGAAATATTAAGTGGCGCAGACATCTATTTGTGGAGTAATTCACCATTTTGTAAAGGGGTCAACATTATATTTTCACTTCTTTCTTCTTTTTTACCCAATTGTTGTGTGGATGTGCTTTGTTTAAGACCTTGTTTGGTCTGAGCAAACCGTTCAATTGTAAAACACTGAACATTGTTCACTCTGCGAACAGATTTTCCCTTTTACAGAAACACAACTGTGATAAAACATAGAAGCAGCAGTCATATATCCTGTTTCTGTCGATCTCAATCGTATCATATAAAAAAAATCGTCATTTTCCACTGTCGCCATTGACATGTAATGCAATGAAGATGACTCAAGTCAATAATAAGTGATAACCGGGCTGCCATCCATCTAAAAAGTTATTGTTTGACTGTGGAACAATACTTCTTTACATTGAATACTTTTTTATAATCATTGAGTACGCTAGTTTTGACCATGACGATGACCATGGCCAGTAGGGTTGGGAAATATAAATTTTTATGGTCTTCAACTATAAAGCTGTATATTCTTAAATGCAAAATCTGGCAAAAACATCAGTTGCTGCGTCCAAATTCACATATTTATGCTACATCGACAGATGGGTCGATCTTGCTATCTACGCTTGAGTCACTGGGCGTTGCAGGCACTGTTATTCAGTGGTTCAGATCTTACCTCTCTGACAGGTCATTCAGGGTGTCTTGGAGGGAAGAGGTGTCCAACCTACAGCATCTAAACACTGGGGTACCACAGAGCTCTGTTCTTGGGCCACTTCTCTTCTCAATCTACACGTCATCTCTAGGATCAGTCATCCAGAAACATGGATTTTTCCTACCACTGCTATGCTGATGATACCCAGCTATACCTCTCTTTTCACCCTGATGATCCCTCGGTTCCAGCTCGCATCTCAGCCTGCCTGTCAGAAATTTCACATTGGATGAAAGATCATCATCTTCAGCTGAACCTCACGAAAACAGAAATGCTCCAAGTTTCTGCCAACCCCACTCTACATCATAACTTTTCAATCCAGATGGATGGGGCAACCATTACTGCATCCAAAACGGTGAAAAGCCTTGGAGTAATGATTGATGACCAACTAAACTTCTCTGACTACATTTCTAGAACTGCTCGATCTTGCAGATTCGCACTCTATAACATCAGAAAGGTCCGACCCTTCCTATCTGAACATGCAGCTCAACTCCTTGTTCAAGCTCTTGTTCTCTCCAGACTGGACTATTGCAACTCTCTACTAGCCGGGCTCCCAGCTAACGCTATCAAACCTCTTCAGATGCTCCAGAACGCAGCAGCACGAGTGTTCTTTACTGAACCTAAAAGAGCACATGTCACTCCGCTGCTCATCCGTTTGCACTGGCTGCCAGTTGCTGCTCGCATCAAATTCAAAGCTCTGATGTTTGCTTACAAAGCGACTTCTAACATTGCTCCTCCTTATCTGCTCTCACTTTTAAAATTCTCAGCAGAAATAGCAAAAAACGTCTGCAGATTCCGTCTGGCACACATGGCAACTTCTTTATAGAAGTTCAACTGTTGTTGCAGAACAAATATAACACGGAAAACGAGATTTAAATATATTCCTGTTAGCTAGAAATTCATTAACAGTCTTTTAAACAACTTTACCGGAGCTTCTCTACTTGAAAGTTAGTCTCATGCATTCAGCATGTTTGTGGTTTGTTTACACTTTTTACCTGAGTTTGTAGGTCTGATCAAATTCACGTCAACACACAATGTATTGTGGGCAATTTTAGTGGTTAAACACTTCAAATTTATACCGGAAATAGTAGAGCATACGGGAACCATTAACATAACATACTACAATTTGTGACACAATAATTCAATTTTTGAACACTATTTAGGACGGATAGTGCGAATTGAGACGCAGCAAGTGTAAACTGCCCTAGTAGCAAAGAATTCTGGCCCAGATTTGGCATAAAGCTGGCACAGCAGGCATTCATCCGGCACTGGCATACAGCATGTGGGCCAAACATGGCCCGGGTTTGGCAGAGGTGGCACCGTCTTTAAGGCGGCACACAAGATTTGGGCATGGTCCGTGTTTGGCCCTTGTCTGGAAGCCAGATTTGGTCCAGTCATGTACCGTAATTCACTGCGGCATGTGGGCCAAGCAAAACCTGATTGTGTGGGCCAGAGCTGGGCCAGAGAAATTTTGCTATGTGGGTGTTCTCCAGGCAGATCTGCACATCACTTCGGAAGAAAAACAAATGAAGCGGTACCACATTATTTCAAACGTGGGCCCACACTTTATTTTAGTGATAAAAAACAAACAAATAAAACAAGTATGGACTCAAGTGATAATGAAACAATACAATGTTAAAAAAAAAAAGTTTAGATGCTTTTACAAAACCCTCGGAAAGATTTTTACCAAAAAAGTATCAGTTTAAACTCTTACACGCTAAAGTTTCTTTTCACAATGGCACAAACACTTCATAGGTTAAAACAATCTAGAAGGAATGTCCAACATTAGCAGGAATTTAAGGAATCTTGTCATCAGTGTTGGGTGAAAAGTCAAATATTACAATTTTAAGCCAATTACACTCTTAAAAACACACACAGATTCACAATACGTTCATTAAAAAGTAACAGATACTAAAGTTGTTGATACTGAAATTCGTGCCAATCGGCACTGAAATTTTTTTAAATCGTTCATTTCCAGCTAACATTTGAGCATTGTAGAGCGTGTTCTTAATCAGTGCTGATTTGCCATTGTGCTCAACAGAAATGACTGGGATTGGCTGTGAAGGTCATCAGTTCACCGAACTCACCTCTGTTTACTGAGTGTAAACACAGATACAGGGACACTGGAGCGTTCTAAAGCTGCGATTCCTTAGCGTATCTCTTGTATGTCAGCTTATAGACAAACCAGCTGATCGATGTGACATTGAAACGCTCCACTGTCCCTGTATCCGTGTTTACACTCAGTAAACAGTGGTGAACGATGACCTTAAAGGCCAATCACAGTCATTTAACAGTGAACACAACAGCAAATCAGCGCTGTTTAAAAAGAACAAGCTCAAATGTTAGCAGGAAATGGACGTTTTTAAAATATCATTATCAACTGGTACCGAATTACAGTATCCCAACAACCCTAATAGATAATGAATGGTAAAACCACACACTGGTAATACCTACAACTAAGTAACACATTTAGCTTCTTTTACGTCAGGGGTGTCCAAACTTGGTCCTGGAGGGTCGGTGTCCTTCGTATTTTAGTTCCAACCTTAACCAGCAAATCAAGCTCTTTCTAATTTACTAGAAACGTCCAGGCAGGTGTGCTGAAGAAAGTTAGAGCTAAACTATGCAGGACACCGGCCCTCCAGGAGTTTGGACACCCCTGTTGTAAGTGATTTTAGATTGAAATATGCGACTTGTTCCCAACTCTGCTTGTAATATTATAATAATGATCGGTCGCATGTATAGGGCTTTAAGTTTGCAATGATCAACAATTCTGTGGTTAAAAAAAAGACATGATTTTTTTCAAGATTACTGCCATGATGATACACAATGTCCTCGATTCTTGATGTGATGCTTCATGTGCGTCCCGTCACAGTCTGTGATAGCAGGGCTGATGAAGCAGATTCTCCGAAAAATACAGCAAAGGCTCAACACTTGTGCTTCATGGCCAGCTGAAGACAGAGAGAAACTGACCATGAGGAAACTGTACGCAAATCCACTGTACAAATCAGTCACAATGTCGTAGAATCATACTCGCTGGTTTAATAAATGTGTTATTTAAAGGCACGATCCAATTTGAGGTTTTAAATTTCCATTTAACGTTGCAACTCATAAAGATATTAAAATTAGTATGACATTTAGATATGAAAACTGGTTGCAAATATAAATTATGCAATAAAATTAGCACTGTGCACCAAATGGTCTTAAATAATGCTCATTTAAATATAGAAATACATCGCCGTTTAATATAATACATTAGTATTTTGTACATTAACCTTGCTTGCTGGGGTCTGTTCTTCGTACGTGGATTACTCAGTTAGCTGGATTTGGATATTGACGATTTGACATGATCCAGGATCGTTTCGTTCTTCAAAGCTAATCCGAGAGTTGTTGTCATAGCAACATTTCTGCTAGCTCAAACCTGATCGGGAGCAGGTTCAATTCATATAAACAGGATTAGATCGGCTCAGTTCAAGCAAAGATAATACAGAAAGTATGTTCCGAATTCTGATATTTTCTTACAGTAGTAGTTATATACACTTGGGAAAATGGTACACATTTTTTAACTATATATATATATATATATAAAGTTAGTCATTAATAAAATAAATAAAGTTATACATATTAATAAAACGTATGCAATCTGCACTCTCGAAATGAAAGTACAAAGACTGCCATCTGGTGGTGCAAAGAGAAAACTTTGATAACTTTTTAGATCGCTGTAGTACAAATTGTGTATAATAGAAATGCACAATATGTGACTTTTTTGTAAAGCAATAATACATTAATGCATTCATAAACATGTTTTGATAGTTGATATGCCAGTGATTTGATGCTTCACAAAAGTTGCAGACGCCTTTACCAATATCAAAATGCTTTTGGAAACAACCAGTTATTCTTTACACCGATTAAAAAAAATGGTTACCATAATAAAGAAAATATTTTCTAAATGTAGAACTAAATACATTGATTTGCATTGAAATACATGATGAATACTCTTGTCTTGACACATGAAAGTGTAAAGCCTGCAGCTCACAACAAATGTGGAAGGTTATTGCGTGTCATATTTAACAAACCGTTTACTGCTAATTTGATGTAATTTTGCTCACATGGATAATTGAATATTAATCAGATGATGTCATTACGCTGCTGTGCCGTCAGCCAATCGCTGCATTGCTGATCATGATTTCGAGGATCGATAGATCTGTCCTTCACAACACACGCAGCGATCTCAGATCAGTTCATCCAGACATTCTACTCTGATTCGCGAACTTGTTTGAAGAACCAAATTAGCGAGAGATCAGTTATCAAGATGAACAGATCCAGGATCTGCCAAATCATCTTAGATCATTTAAGCGAGGTACAAAGAACGGACCCCTGGTTTACTAATATTTTGGTTGTGATCAATTTCATGGTTCTCCATGCAGTGGCCACACGGCGGCAGCAGAGAGACACTGATGTGTGTGTTTTTCCCCTCAGTGGAGCTTCAGGAAGACTGGAGTTTCTGGACTGAGAGCCTGCCGTTACCTTGTGTGCGGTGTCAGCGAAGTGCTGTGCGCTGTTCATCATGTCGCTGGTCTTCTCTTCCGCGCGGCCCAGTCTCTCTCCACGCTCATTCAGAGCCTGACTGGCCTTCTGTACCGCACTGCTCACACTGTCAGCCGCACCGTGGAGGAGACTGCTATTACCTACATGAGAGATAAAGAGATCACACATTATAAACACTGCTGTTAACTAGATTGAGCTATACGAATCACATCAGTAAAAGTAGACGGGGTTGAGGAGATATATTATTATAATGATGTATTATTTCAATATAATATATTGAATATATTGGTGAAGGTTTTTCCTCGCCGCTGTCGCCACTGGCTTACATGGTTCGGGATCTGTAGAGCTGCACATCGATGGATTTGCTCTTCAGTGTGTGTGTGTGAGAATGGCTCAGTCAGGTGTGTGGCTGTTTGCACAGTGTTAAATGGATCAGTGTAATGATTCCTGCCAGGCAACACAATCCGGCATCTGACCCCAAGCAAACCTCCATCTGCTTCCCACAGTAACACGCAGCCCGTCCTGCCGCTGACTCACAACTGATGCGCTGAAAGCTGTAATTTATTAGGCGGGAGGAACAACTGGCAACGCTCGCCTGGAAACCTCCGTCTTCCACTTGACTACACCATTACTGTAGCATACCGACACAAACTGAACACACGCTTAACCACTTAAACTCTGCGGACCTGGTACCGGGTCTGTGACGTCATCGACTTTCACTTTCAGATTAAAAGGGCTAGCGTTGCACCAGACCCCCGTAAGGGGTTTCGTTTAAAAGTGTAGATTCTATATTTTATGCTCATATGCGTCACTTTGGTTTTTATTCCATTGTATAAAAGTTATTTACACTTAAATACACAGTATTTTGGATACCCGAGCTGGGTATTTTACATTGGTTCATATTTTTCATATGACACATGTACAAGTTATAGCTCAAATGAAAGCTCTTGCCGGTGCTCATACAGTTCTAGCATTCTTTTTACTGAATTATATTCACATATCAAACAGTTGCTGAATGAATCGCCGTGTTTCCATGGCGCAGAAGTGAAAACAATACATTTATGATAAATAAGCAGCCCCAGATAGCACAGACAGCTGTCATCTCTTACCTTATGCTGTGCTCTTCAGGGCCATTCTCCTCTGTTTTTGAGGTGATGTGCATAAGTAATCCTTTTATATGTCTGATGTGGTCCAAACACAGTGAATTATGTTTGATCAAACAAAAGAATAGTGAAATATGAACACAATGATCGCTCCCTGTGGCTTGTACAGCACCTCTCATCAGTTGGAATACAGTAACTTTTGCTTAGATTATGGTGGAGAGATTTTTCTTTTTTCCTATGATTACAGACATGTGCAGGAACCACCAACATTAATTACAGCACACTAGACCACACAGAACCTAAAAGGTACACTTTCAAATTTGAGTTTATGACAAAAAAATACAAAAAGCGCCTCTATTTTTAGGTGTTTATTATAACACAGACAACATATACAGATATTTTAAACACTTTCAATAGTGTTTCATGAAAATTCAAAGGGTTTTCTTTAAAATGATACCAAATTTTTGCATTTACACCTCTGCATGTGGATTTGGTAAGCTTTTAAATTTGGGTAGGGTTAGGGTTAGGGTTTAACTGGTTAAACACTCTAGAAGGACACAAAGTAGTCATCTCTGGACCCTTTATTAAAGATTATTTAGTTCTAAAGCTGCCAGTTGACTAAAACAGTGCTGTTTTAAAATGTCTAAATCATTTAGACAGCTATTAAGTAGGAGAAATCAGGCTTTACTTTTACAAACATAATTCATAATTCACATAATTGTGTTTGGACCACGTCAGACATATAAAAGGATTACTTATACACATTAGCTCAAAAACAGAGGAGAATGGCCCTGAAGAGCACAGCATAAGGTGAGTGATGACAGCTGTCTGTGCTATCTGGGGCTGCTTATTGATCATGAATGTATTGTTTACATTTCTGCACCATGGAAACACGGCGATTCATTCAGCAACTGTTTGGCATATGAATATAATTCAGTAAATGAATGCTAGAACCGTATGAGCACCGGCAAGAGCTTTCATTTGAGCTATAACTTGTACATGTGTCATATAAAAAATATGAAAAGATCCAATGTAAAATACCCAGCTCGGGTCTCCAAAATACTGTGTATTTAAGTGTAAATAACTTTTATACAGTAAAATAAAAACCAAAGTGATGCATATGAGCATAAAATATAGATTCTACACTTTCAAACGAAACCACTTACAGGGGTCTGGTACAACGCTAGCCCTTTAAATCTTAAAGCGAAAGTCGATGACATTTGAGTGGTTAAAACTTATTTTATTAATTTAGCAAACAAATTAAAGATTCTATTAAAGATTCTAATTAATTAACTAATTACTCATGAGTAAGCTACTTAATCAAACTTCAATAATCAATAATGCTGATCAGTAATGAAGTCAAAATGTAAAAACAGACTGTGATATTCAGCGGGATTAGAGATCAGGGTAGTTGCAGTAGTCGCTGGATAATGAGTAGTTGCACCTCTTCAGTAAAACGGGCAGGAGACAAATAAAGCTGCGAGACGTGTCGGGGGGTATTCAAGTCAAAGAAAGCCTCCATTAATCAGGCCTTTAAATACACAACACAGAGCAGACACTTTCCTTCACTAGCAGAACTGAACACACTCACTGCTGAAAGTTTGGAATGGTGACACACAGTGAAGGACTTTCTACAAAGAGTTTGCCTCATGATGAGTCTCAGGGACAATAGAATAATAAATAAATCAAAATAATTGTAAAAAAAAGTTAATAAATAGTGCTTTTATTTCAGTTTTTTTAAGGCTGTGGCCTCACAGAGAGAAGGTCGCTGGTTCGAGTCTCAGCTGGGTCAGTTGGCATTTCTGTGTGGAGTTTGCATGTTCTCCTCGTGTTGGCGTGGGTTTCATTGGGTGCTCTGGATTCCCCCACAGCCCAAAGAAATGCCACTGGGGACTCAAACCAGCAACCTATTTGCTGTGAGGGGATAATGCAAACCACTGAGACACTGTGTGTGTGTGTGTGTGGGGGGGGGTCTCTCACCTCCCAGTAGTTTAGGGGGGCAGTTGACGAACTCTACTTTTCTCTCAGGAATGAAGCGCTGGCACGTGTGATGGAGGATCTGCACAAACACACACTTCTCTCCTGCTGAACCCGCCGTCCACTGGTCAGACCCGCTGTCAAACACCAGGTCAAACTCTGGGCAGTCCTAAACACAAGTGTGAGTGTGTGAGCAGCTCACAATTTTAGTGTGTTTGTTCAATGAGAGTGTGTGTTGTTCATTAGTGTGTGTTATAGTTGTGTATTATCAGTGTGTGTTGTGCACTGGTGTGTGTTATAACTGTGTATTATTAGTGTGTTTGTTCAATGAGAGTGTGTGTTGTTCATTATTGTTATAGTGTTATAGTTGTGTATTATCAGTGTGTGTTGTGCACTGGTGTGTGTTATAGTTGTGTATTATCAGTGTGTGTTGTGCACTGGTGTGTGTGTTGTTCATTAGTGTGTGTTATAGTTGTGTATTATCAGTGTGTGTTGTGCACGTGTGTGTGTTACAGTTGTGTATTATTAGTGTGTTTGTTCAATGAGTGTGTGTGTTGTTCATTCGTGTGTGTTATAGTGTATTATCAGTCTGTGTTGTGCACTGGTGTGTGTTACAGTTGTGTATTAGTAGTGTGTTTGTTCAATGAGAGTGTGTGTTGTGCACTGGTGTGTGTTATAACTGTGTATTATTAGTGTGTTTGTTCAATGAGTGTGTGTTGTGCACTGGTGTGTGTTATAGTTGTCTACTATCAGTGTGTTGTGCACGAGTGCGTGTTAAAGTTGTGTATTATTATTGTGTTTGTTCAATGAGTGTGTGTTGGGCACTGGTGTGTGTTATAGTTGTGTATTATCAGTGTGTGTTGTGCACTGGTGTGTGTTATAGTTGTGTATTATCAGTGTGTTTGTTCAATGAGTGTGTGTTGTGCACTGGTGTGTGTTATAACTGTGTATTATTAGTGTGTTTGTTCAATGAGAGTGTGTGTTGTGCAGTGGTGTGTGTTATAGTTGTGTACTATCAGTGTGTTGTGCACGAGTGTGTGTTATAGTTGTGTATTTTTAGTGTGTTTGTTCAATGAGAGTGTGTGTTGTGCACTGGTGTGTGTTATAGTTGTCTACTATCAGTGTGTTATGCACAAGTGTGTGTTATAGTTGTGTATTACCAGTGTGTTTGTTCAATGAGTGTGTGTTGTGCACTGGTGTGTGTTATAACTGTGTATTGTGAGTGTGTGTTGTGCACTGGTGTGTGTTATAGTTGTCTACTATCAGTGTGTTGTGCACGAGTGCGTGTTAAAGTTGTGTATTATTATTGTGTTTGTTCAATGAGTGTGTGTTGGGCACTGGTGTGTGTTATAGTTGTGTATTATCAGTGTGTGTTGTGCACTGGTGTGTGTTATAGTTGTGTATTATTAGTGTGTTTGTTCAATGAAGTGTGTGTTGTGCACTGGTGTGTGTTATAACTGTGTATTATTAGTGTGTTTGTTCAATGAGAGTGTGTGTTGTGCACTGGTGTGTGTTATAGTTGTCTACTATCAGTGTGTTGTGCACGAGTGTGTGTTAGTTGTGTATTATTAGTGTGTTTGTTCAATGAGTGTGTGTTGTTCATTATTGTGTGTTATAGTTGTGTATTATCAGTGTGTGTTGGGTTATAGTTGTGTACTATCAGTGTGTGTTGTGCACTGGTGTGTGTTATAGTTGTGTATTGTCAGTGTGTTTGTTCAATAAGAGTGTGTGTTGTGCACTGGTGTGTTATAGTTGTGTATTGTCAGTGTGTTTGTTCAATGACAGTGAGTTGTGTATTATTAGTGTGTTTGTTCAATGAGTGTGTGTTGTTCATTATTGTGTGTTATAGTTGTGTATTATCAGTGTGTGTTGGGCACTGGTGTGTGTTATAACTGTGTATTATTAGTGTGTTTGTTCAATGACAGTGTGTGCTGTGCACTGGTGTGTGTTATAGTTGTGTATTATCAGTGTGTTTGTGTCAGGGAATGTGAAACACTCACTTTGATGGCGTCCACACCGTTGACCTGTCGGAGTTGACTGATGTTCCACTGAGATCTCCTGATGAACGAGGATGAGCCCTCGAACTGCTTCACCTTCGTCAGGAACACCTGTGCTGGCTTCTTATTGGTGACTGAAACAGAAAGAGAAACAGGGCACTGTTTAAAGGGGTCCTATTATGCAAAGACCACTTTTAAAAGGGGTTTAAAATCAATTAATTGTATTATTTATAATCAGACTTGACTAAAACAGTCAGCAGAAACACTTTGATTGACATTTTCCCTTTGTGCTTGTCATCAGAGGAAAGCCCCGCCCACTAATGACCATCTCTCCCTCATTAGC